CATGGTAGCCGAGTGGTCAATTATCGGATCGTGGCTGGCCTTGTCACGAGTTCGAGCCCAGTACCACTAAAGCCCTGCTGTGTAGGGGAGCAATGCACATTAAATCTGTGGAGATCTCAAACATTCTCCCATTGGTGTGGTGGGGTAATTAGGAGAGGGGAGTGCCAGCTTGGGTGTCGTACACGTCACTTGACTGGGGTTCAAAATTACGTGGTCCTTCGTCAAAACCCCTTGTGTAGCTAAACAATACGATGTTAATATTCAGTCACTCACTGGTATAAACAATGTATGTAAAAATTCCGGTATTTACAAAATATTAAAGTCTTATATAGATCAGTATTTATTATACAAAGATGTTGCAGAACTTTCCGTATTTTCCTTTTGGGGTCTCAAAAAGTATTTCTGTGTTTATTATTTGATCTTAAGGGGGACACAGTAAGATTCAATTGACAAAAATCGGTTAAAAAATCAAATCTAATTTTTTTAGTCTAAATTATTTTTCACAAAATTTTAAAACTCTAAACCTAAAAAACACAAAAAAATTATAGCTTTTACATTCATTTTTATTCACATCCCTATGGCAAATCAAAACTTTAAGCTAACTTATCTCGGAAAGGTAAAATAACTAGTTTGTCTTCATTTAAAATGCTAAGGCGTTTTTTCTGTTGTGCCTAATGCTTTGAATTTTTTTTCCCTATTGTTAATGGCCGTTATGCATTTTTGAATCAAAGCATTACTTATTTTTTTTAAATATTTGAGCTCGGAATTTTTTATGCATTTTTTAAGGAACTTTCAATAAGCATTCATAAAAAGAAGTATTGTACAAATACCCCAATCATGTTATCACAAAACCCATATCAAATTTTGTTATACATAGTTTGAGGTACTTGTAAATCAAATTTCATGTGTGTATGTAAATTTTTGTAGGATAATTTTTGTCATTTTAAAATCACTTAACAAATTTTAAGTTTTTTCCTTAAAAAATTAAATGGCTAGTTTTTTAAATTTTTGAGCACAAAAGCTGTTTTAGATAGCATACACACATAGAACACAACCAAAAAAATTTGAAAATGCTTAAATTAAAAATGTTTGTGTAAATCATACCATGTCCCCTTAAGTTAGGAATATTTTTAAGTTTCACAATTTGTATGCAGGTTTAATTTTTAAGGGAGACTTTACTGTTTTGTGAAGGAAATGTATTTCTCTCAAGTTAAGTTTCCTGTTAAAGAAAAAAAAGATTGTGCATTTTGCAAAATGAAATCATCTTTATGTCAGTTTTTGCATCATTCTCTTTTTCAGATCTAATATGAACTATGCTTACTTTAGAAATATTGTTTTTATTTATTATGTAGATCAGTTTACATAGTTAATGTATTATCAAAAAAAGTAGTTAATTGTCAAGAATTTAATTATATGAAAGACGATTTTATCTTGGGAGATGTTTGTCAATTCAAGTTTAATCAAAGTGAGGGATGAGATTGAATTGATTATTAGTTTTTTTGGGGGGGGAGTATTTAGTTTTTGTCTTAGGAGGAGGAGGGTATCATATACATGACGGGACCAAATCAAGTCAGTACCGTCAGCCCAGATGACTGTTCTGCAATCTGTACAGTATTGTCTATATAGAGGTTTGTTACTGAGAAAAAGATCCCTATTTCTTGTAGAGCAGCAAGTATAGCTGGACAGTCAAAAATATGATCTAATGTTAGCTTTGTATATAAACAGTTATCACAACTCCTATAAGTTCTTCTACCATCCTTATAAAACTTCATTCTTCTGTGAAGACTTGTTCTTAGCGTAGCAATAGTCTTTGTTATAAGGCGGTCTCCACTTATATTTACAGGAATTGACTTCTCTCTCAATTTGAAATTTGTGACAGCATTTGCATCTAATAAAGTAATGTTGACAAAGTTGTCATTTTTAAGATTTCTTACTTCTCTCGCCAGTTTATACATATTTTCATTGCCTGTAATGTCAACATGTGCAGGTAACCATTGGAGGAAGCAGACCCAATCCAACTCCTGCAATCTAAATAGGCAAGAGCAAATCTCCTCTGCAGCTAGCTAGCTAGCTCTAAGTAGCTTCTTTATCAAAAAAATCTTTGGGAGTCCTTTTTTGGAAAATAAATAAAAAGGATTGCATTAATAAAACTTATGAAAGTGTCAAAATAAATATATATAGACATAATGTATTGAAAAACTTCATTACTTAAGAATTAATTTTTTATATAGGTGCTTTTCTTGATTTTTTTTTCAGTAAATGCATTTATAATAATATCCATAACAGATGATTTATTTTTCAAGTTTGTCTGTTTCTATTGACAGTATTGTTAAGTCCGAAAACCAGTTTTGGCCTATGAATGTTCTAAGATGATTTTTAATAATTTTTAGCTTAGAAAAACTTTCAGTTGCAATTGTGACAGGAAGGGTATAAAATAATAGGCATGCTATCATAGCATCTGGTAAACTGGAGATGAGGCTACTGAAATTAAGAACCAATAATTCTGCATACTTTTTAATAAAATGGATTTTCTCAATTTATGATTTTAAACAGCTTTTTAAAGCACTTAATTGTTCATAGATACTGTGTGTTAAGGACTTATCATATTCAATAGCTAGTTTTTCAGCCTTTTTTTTTATTTCTTAGTTCGAAAAGGATAAGTGTTTATCCGGTTGTAAGATTTCAAAAATATTGCAAAGATCAAGGAAACTGAAATCTTTGTCGGGTTTGGGATGTTAACACATCTAAGCAGCACATTAACTTTGAAAAAACATTCTTGATCTGTAATGCTCTCATCTTCCAAACTGAAGCGTTTTCTTCTTTTTCATTTCTGAAAGCAGGGCATTACACCCCATTTATTTGCAAGATATCCAGACTCATTTAGCAAATAGCTGAATGAATTTTGATTTCATATTAGTTCCAGTCTACTCAGGATATTTCTCAACGGAATACCTGCCTTTTGTAGGTCATCTTTTTCATGCTGTAGATTTCTAGAAATAGGGTCTAATTCCATATAAAATGGTTCATAAAATCATACCTCTCTTGTATAGTACTTTAGTAATTATATCTTTATATTTGTCATGTTTAGTTGAAATTAAATTAAGTTTATAAAATGCTTTCATTATTAAATAATTTTTTCGAATTACAAATAAGGTGTCATTTCTTGGTGACCATCCATTTTGTACAAATCTAGCAAATAATTTTTAAAATATTGATCAAAACATGGATTAAAACTTAATTATTACATGATATAAATCATTGTTCAGTTAAGTATTTATGAAATTATAAATGAAGAGCTCTTCCTAAATCAAAACGGTTACAAAAATAAAAAAGTTTTTCTGCTTTAAAAAAATTAAACCGAAATACATTTCTGAAGGCAGTTTAGTTTCTAAAAATGTTATTGCAGGATGAGAACGTTTATTGGATTACAGCATAACATAGATCTGTGTATTGAAAATAGCAATTTCTACTTATCTTACACAATATTAACAAATCTGTTATATACAAGAAGTGGTGAATAATTTAAAATTATTTCAAATAAAATTAATTTATTGTCTTATGTGTTGAGGCAATATCTATACATTCCTCATTTTATTTCAATTATTTACTGAAACATGTATAAATTTAAAATTCATGGTAAATGTATGCAGTTTTTAAACTACGTTTCTAGTTTCATAATACTTGACTTAAAAGAACGTGGAATGTATAACTCCTTTTTTACTGTACAAATATATTATCTGAAGCCCAGTGGCTTAGTGGTAGCGTACTTCCACGCCACAAGTCCAGGATTCAATCCCCAGGCTAGGCAAGGTTGATTCAGCCTTTTATCTCTTCAGTAGGTCTGTAAATGAATACCAAGCATGCTTGGGAACTAAACACTGGCAGGTTTGCATCAAACTGACCACCTGACAGGAATATCTGCTCCTCAGAGCCCAAGGTTACGAAAACCGAGAAGGGCACAGCCATCTATGGGCTGTTGCACCACTGAGTTAGGTTTAATATACTATCTATTTCACATGGTTTTACAAGAAATTTCATATAATGTTTTAACCATGTAAACATTAAGTCGGATGTGATATGAACTATATTGTACAGCATAAGGGAAAAATCTTACCATTACAATCCAAATAAATCAGATTTGTTGATTGTAGAGAAAACTGCAATTTTGGAGAATTTCTCTGCAATATTTTCTTTATTTTAATTTACGTTTAAAAGTGCCACTACACGGCATGTGATCTCCTATTGCTCTTATTTTCAACATTTAACTGTGCAAAGAATTGCTACATAATCAATGGAATTAACAGAGTTGAAAACAAACTTTAAAACCTCCTATTGTGAGACTGTTCGAATGACTACTTATGGAGAAAACGTATTTTGGCGACAAGATTGCTCATCACGGGGCAATTCACTAGTAATTGGGTTGGTGACAAAGGACTTCTGGTGCCTTTCTCCATTTTTGGACGAAAAAAGACTTATAAATGTTTTCACGTAATAATCTTCATAAAATAATTTAGTATGTACATTCTAATTCAACTAATACTAAATATATAAAAAAAATTATCCATTTGTATACCTTTTCAAAACCATGGTTCCAAACGTAGTGTCACCTTAAACTATATAAATTTTGGTGAATATTAACTATAGAGTAAAAACCTAAAATTATTAGATTCAATATTACTGTGTTAACTTAGAAATAGTAACTAAAACCTCACAGGCTGCTTAAGTGATAAGTAAACATGCTAATTTTATTGTTTTCTCTTGTTTTTCAATTCCCACTATTAGTTCACAATCTTTCTCTCAATGTATACATCTTGTTCAAATTTTCAATTGTTAATCAAATACTTTCTATTTATCCATTCAAGTTAATACATTTTTTTAAACTTGTAGTGAATGACACTTGATGTTAATACAGCTTTTGAAATATTAATTCTTTAGTTAAATTTAATTAATGAGTAAAAATAACAAACACAAATAATATAAAAAGGAAAATCGCTCATTGTGTCTCTGTAGCACAATGGATTGTGTGTTGGACTTCTAATCCAAAGGTCCTGGGTTTGATTCCACCTGGGATGGCCTAATTTCTGAAAATGTGATTTATGAACAAATAAGTAGTAACAAACAAAAATAATTCAATACCACATATAGAAAGGAAAATTGCTTTCTATTTTGCCATTTAATATTGTGATTCTGTCGTATGTATATACATATATATATTAATGGTAGTTATTTAATAAAAAGTAACTAAAATATAAAAAATTTCTTTGTTGACGTGAGTAGGAATTGACTTTAAAAAAAAATTTTATGCTACTTGTTTCCGATTCATTCGTAAAATTGTTTTTCTTCTGTAATAAATCTACTAACTCATATGAAAGAAGAAAATTTTATATTACTATTTATTCATAAAATTGTTTTTCCTACTGCAATGTATCTACTAACTCATTTGAAATAATAATTTCTTTTTACACTTAAAAGTTAAAATTGTGTTAAACATTATTTTATCCTTACAGCAATGGTCTACACATTTTTCAGACTCAAGGAACCCTTAGAGCTATAAGGCTGTTCCAGGAAATCCCATTAAAAAACACACAGCAGGACCGTTTTTAACCTCTCCTTTGCCCTGGGCATTTCAAATTGTTACGCCCTCAAGTCTAAAAAATTATTGAGTAGTGAGCCCTATAACCATATATCTTCAACAGGGAAGCTAAATCTACCATCTTACAAAATTTGATTCGTAACCCCAAGACCTTGCCCTCTCTTATTAGAGAAAAGCAACTGTATTCCATTAAAAAGAAATTACTGGTCAAAATAAATTTTATTTTTTTCATCTATACTTTATTTTATCCTTGCACACTTCACTGCAATCAAAAAGACATTAAGAAGAATTTCTTGGCAATCTATCAGTTGTTTAACCCTCAAAAAAGAAAATTCAGACCAACAATATAGTTTTTTTTTATTTAATTTTTTTTAAGTACACAGTACCTACAAATTTCAATAATACATTTTTTCTCCCGTATCATTGATATGGCGGTAGGTACACACCCCTGCTCCTCAGTAATCCATGATCCTCTATACAGAATTGCCTAGAGGGCTGCTTTTGAGTCACAAAAAATGAGACCTTGAGCCTGTTCTTAGAATAGGGAGAGTCTCATAGATCAAGAGCCTCAATTATGGCCTGAAGTTCACAAGTGAAGCAAGAGGCTAGTGAGCCCTTTTGCCTTGATGATACTAGTAGGCTCACTCTTTGTACATGGCTCTAATAGACTTTTTACAATTATGGTGTTCTTAGGAAGCCCAGTAAAGAAAAGAGGTTCCTGATAAATAAAAAATTTGTTATGTTCAAGGCCAAGGGGTATTCTAGTTTCACTATCTAATTGCATTGGAGAAGATTTTTTTAATCTTGTGTTACTGTGTGTGTTATAATTTTTAAAGGTTCTCCTAGTAATATGTGTTGGTACAGGACTTCTAGCCCAGTTTGTGAATTTGATCAAATCTTAGGATGATATTGGTTATATGTCAATAATGGATAAAATTAGCCAAAAAAGCATCATTTTTTTAAACATTTCAAAATTGTGTTTAAAATGTGTGAAAAGCTAACAAGTTGAAAGTAGGCAAGACTGATTTCAATATTTAGTAAAACACAAATATTTATCGAGTCTTTTTCCATTCAACTTCCATTCAGTACATTAACATGTTTAATTTCAATAAGTTCTAAGCGTATTTGATTATCTCCTATATCACTAATAAGATATATGCCAATTTTAGGCATAAAAGTTATATGTCAAAAGTTTGTTTTGAGGGTAATGTTGTATGATCTTGATGTATTTAGGGACCCAAGTATACCAAGAGTTAATTTTTTAGTATTAAGTGTTTTCCCAAATGATTATTTTCCTTGTTAAAAATTATGTTTATTTTTCAATTTACAACTACTATAGATTTATCAGATGAGCTTTAGATTCTATAAAATGTCTTAATTTTTGTTGCCTAAAAGGCTTCATCCATGTTAGTTTAACTGGTTAAATACCACTATTCATTACACCACAGGTTTTTAAATAAAAGCTTGGAAGAAATTAGCAAGTTTTTATATAAAATTTTTGTGTGAGAAATATATTCCCAAGAGAATATGTAGGGTTTCCCCCCTTCCCCCATTCATTTTTGCAGAATCCTAATTTATTTGGGAGAATAGATTTAGAAAATTATATTTCTTTTATGAAACTACATAATTTTATTTTAAGATTTTTAAAAAAATCAGCTTTCTACTAGATATTCCTGTGTGTTGTATATGAAGATGAAAGTAGCTGTAACATTGTTAGTAAATAAGTTTAACAGATTAAAAATAAAAATGTTTTTTAAAGAGGAGGGGCTATATGTAAACTTTGTTGATTGTACTGTTAATTTGGCAATATATGTTAAATAAAATATACAGTTAATTTTGCTTACTATTTGCTTAAAAATTATAAAATAAAAGTGCAGATTTCAGAAACTATTAGTTTAGAAAAAAGGATTTAAAATATTGAGAATGTAATGGATGTTAAGACTCTCATAAATGCACACACATTTAATTATACATAAATGTCTCAAATGTTCTCTAGGAATTTAAAAAATGTGCGTATATCAGGTCAATAGAAATAGCGGTACTTGCGTATTAGGTTCACCACAGCCAAAATTGTGCCTCAAGAATCATTTTTCTTCAAATAAAATACATAAGAAACTTTGTTTTGTTTTTTGTGGCGATAACGCTAATTTGTAAGTACAGAAATAGCTCATTCTTTAATGTTAAATTTGTTATAGTACTTTTTTTGCTTAATGCTCTGTTGATACTTTTTTTGGGCCATGTCCATTTTGGTAGATAAGTTGTTTTGTTGGCTGTTTATCAATTACAGTAATATTATAGGATTTACTTGATTTGAGAGTTTTTAGTTAATATTTATTTTTATAAAATACAATGGATTTGTAGTATGGAACCGCAATGTGCTTGCAGATCTTTTGTTGATGTTCTCCACTTTGTATAAATATTTCTTGCTCTTTGTGTAGAACAGCGTTTGCCAAAATTTTTGACTTCACGAACCAGTAAATTCATAATTTAAATCCCACAGACCACTAGTAGGATTTTTTTAAGTGTTAAATATATTTATAAAAAGAATTGTAATCTAGGAACACAAAAACGTCAATTAATAAAATGAAACTTAATTGTAACTACATTATGAAAGCTGTATTAATAAACCATAATGAAATAAACAAAACAATTAAAAACTAGTTTAAGTATATCAAACTCTAATCATTATGCATTCCTAGTTTGATAGATATCCTGCTTGCTTGAAATAAGATTATGTATATTTGGATCCAATGTTACTGCAAGACGGAGAACTGCATTTATATATTTCAAGCTCAGATCAGTATCATGTTTTGATAGCTGTGACAGATGAAAAGGTCTTTTCACATAAATATATTGTGGAGAAATGAAACAGAATTTTCATTGCCTGTTCATGTATTCACTTTTTATAGATAGCCAAAAATGAGATCTTGATAAGGACAAACAACATTTAAATTTGAGCTCATCAAATGATAGCTCCATAAAGCTTTCATTTAGATGCATGCTTAAATTATTATCCTGAATTTTCGCTGCACACGGATCTATGATCCACATATAACAATGCAGCTACAGCAGTGCAACTTATTTACTGTGGCGTTATTCTATGAAGTAGTGTTTTTATAATTTTTCATATTCATATGAATTGAATTATGTTGCAGTGCATCTTAAGACATAACTTAACATGATGAATAAGTATATTCCACACTTTTCTAGGGACCCGCGAAATTTCCTCGCGGACCACCACTTCAGCAACCTCTGGTGTAGAACATTCTATAAATGCTTTTATTTCAATTCTTGGAAATTCTTGATTAATCTTCACATTTGTATACATAAATTGGTACTTGTTTTTAATCATGAAGCCAAACACTGCAACATGTAAAAAATGTACCAAGATCTGTTCCATGATTGTGTTTGTTCCCAGTATATCTTGTTGGATAATATAGTAGAGTTACGAAAACTTGGCACTTGATAACCCAGCAGTTCTGATAACTCAGTCATATCCTTGTAGATCAGAAAGGTCTCACAAGACGTTATGCATTTCTTTTTAAAAAAATAGCCAGTTTTTGCGAAGTCATCTAAAAGTATTTTTCTTAGGTGTGTGTGTGATCATTAAATTACTGTATTCTATGTATTCGTTAATTTTAATTTTCACGTTGTAAATTATCTATACCTTCATAAAGTACATACTTTTCCTTTGTTTAAGGGTATTTCTGCTGTTTATTTTCTGAGAAAATGCTTTTACCTATTTTTTTTAATTCCATTCTCGATAACCCAACATTTTCACAAACTTGTCCATCCTATGATCGTCATTAAGTCAAGTTTTTGGAATCTACTGTATCACTAACATTCCTTTTGGCAACAACTTTGGTGAAAAAAAATTGCCTACTCATAGTCCCTATAACTATCCGGCATATAACATAGTCCCTATACCGTAAAATCCGGCGTATAACGTGCACTTTGAGCAAAAAAAAATATTATCGAAATTTAGGGGTGCGGGTTATACGCGGGTATGGAAAAGATAGCTTCAAAAATAAAAAAAGTAAAGGAGCATAAAAAAATTACACTTCTATATAGACCGAAATATTGTTTATGTAAAAGAAATGACATACCTAATAAACTTAAAGGGTTGTTCTAGAAGTATGCTGCATATATTTTTTTTAAAGTCTGGTATAATACCTCGAAGAAATGACTTCAAAACATAAGAGCATTAGGCACAAACATTTCAGGTTCCTTTATAAAAAAAGGGGTGCACGTTATACGGCGAATATGCCTAAAAATTAAAAAATGTAGCTTGAAAGTATGGGTGTGCGTTATATGCCGGATTTTACGGTAAGTATCCTGCAATCTTTTATTGATTGTTATTGTTAACAATGAAATATTTTAAAAGGATTTGTAAATTTATGAATTTACATACCACATAACCCCCCCCCCTTCTATACAACATGTTTTTATGTCCTGAATTTTCAGGGTTCAAGATTTAAT